CCGAGACGTCCACTTTTGTGTCGACGTTAACCTTATCCCCGAATTCCGTGTAAGACCAAAGGACTTTCAGACATCTGAACTTCACTACGTCTTTCTTTCACCCTCTCCGCCGTACTGGTTTCAACAGCTTGGCTCTCCTGTCCAATCGGCTCCTCTTGATGAATATTGGTGCAAAACTGGTGTTAAGGCTAGGCTGATTCAGGTAAGGTTGGCCGGGATAATATTGACCATTTTTAAATTCGCCCTGAGAGAGGAATCAAAAAAATGAAGGAGTTTGATGAAAATGTGTTTCTTTATGCCATGTTCGAATCAAATCTACTCGCCTAGAATAGGCAAATTAATGCTGAGATCAGCTTTGATGTCATCGGAAAGATGGGTACGTCCAGACTGGAGTCTGCAGTTGCTGTGGCCGATAATTGGTTCCAAGGGGTTCTCAAGCCATGATCGACTGTCTGGAGGAGCTTCTAAATTGACCCCAGCCGAGTAAAATTTAACCAATTACAGACACCGAATTCTTACCCTAAAATGGCCAAAACCTGTCAGATACACGTAAAAATCATTCACTTTACTTATTTATTGGCTCATTCGTCATGGCGTGTAGAGGTGAGGGGACGAATGTGCGCGTTTCTGCACTGATCGAGAGAAAGCAAATGGCTACAACATATATTTTGTATGCTGTTAATGTGCGGCTATATAAAAAGGGTTAGATGAGGCCACACATTAGTAAGTAAGTACTTACAACTAGATACGAAGAGAAACTTGGTTTCGATGAATCTCCTGAGATAACATTGTTAGGGGAACCTTTATTTCGAATAAAAGTGTATAAAGAAGAGATTCGTTTGTCGATCTTACCAGATGAGGACGGATGAAAATCGTTGTACTGCAGCCGTTCGGCATTTATACGATATTCATGTTGACGCAGTCCACGAGTCTTCCTCCCTCGTTTCGGGTGAAAACGCGCTGAGCTTTCGTCCATCATATGACGGACATCATCAGACCTGGGTTTTATTCTTGTAAAAGTTTCACGTTAACACTAAAGCAAGAACACTATCCGGATCTATCTTACTTCTTATAAAGACTCAGTAGAGTCGATAGATTAAACATTACAAACCTAGACAGATCGATATAGAGTAGTTTGGTTAATTTTCTTTCATACTCGTTCTAATATTTTTGCTCGATTGTATGAGAATGCATATTTGTGTGTGTTGGCGTCTATATGCAATACGGTTCTTAAATCAGACTTGTCAATGATTAAATCTCCTGTTATGATCCCTAAGACCTAATAACTTAAGAGAAAATCTTTTCCTGAGACTGTCTAAGTCCGAAGATAAGTATTATTGAGATAATAAATATGAGTTTTTTAAGCATGATAATAAAGTTACGAAACCATTAGTTCTAACCTTTCGGTCAAGGGTCATTGACGTTTAACCCTCCAAGGAAAAGCAAGACTGGGGTTGCGTAATCTGACATCTCTAATTTTTTGAAGAGCTTACTCTAACATGTTGGACGAGTGTGTGCAGAGTTAGAACCATCATTGAGCAGACAAATCAAGTCGTCTTCCTTTTAAAGGTGTATCAACACACTCTCTCTTTCAATCTATCGATCAAGCATAGGTAGTTCCTACCCAACTTTCTACCACCGTTCCTCACATTCAACGTGTTTCCTAAGCTATTAATTTCAATAGCCTCTCTTATCTTTCTTTAAACCACAGACATACCATGCGCAGCAAACCTGCTAGTTTGAGACCATTTTTATCTCATCTCCAGTTTCTACCATGTGTTTGGCCACTTTTGACCGTTTGATCCAGCTACCTTTGCAAGCATTTTTGTGTTCTACCAATCTTTGTTGAATAGGTCGGCAT